TTCGCCGGCCGGGCGATCGGTGGTGCCGTGTGGACGCCGGGGGCTTTGTTTAAGGTCCAGCGGCTTTCCAGCTGGAAAGCGCCCGACTACCAGATCTCGCACGCAAGCAGGACTGATAGGGGCGCCGAGGATGCGGCCAGACGGCTGACCGCGCACGCTTTAGCACCCATCGCTAGCTAGCACGCCTACTGTCACCGTGCATGCTAGTCCCACATTACACGTCCCTCCGCATCACATGCAAATACGCAAACTGCAGTTAAAATGACTTCAGCTAGACCTGTTGCCCCACATGCATTAATTGTTGCAAATTTCAATGATAGACGATTAGCTGTTGCACCGGCCCCACCATGCTGGTGGATCGCATTTACAGTACCAGCGTTCAGACCACATATACATGTAAATCGATCTACATTTTTCATTGAAATGCCACACTGATGGAAAGAAGGGACTTTAAACACGTCGTAGCTGGCCATCTCCGATAAATAAAAAAGGCAGAGTGCACATTTTGCCCACAGAAAGCTCCCCATCTGGCAAGCATATAAGGCGGAGGTGGGAGTTGCACAATCACCGGTGGCGCATTCCGCGCGGATGAAAGCAGTACACTTACCGGATCTCCAGCTGAAATTGAAGTCTCTTCAGCTACAACTGCTGATTTTTTAGAAAGACGATCGTATCTCGTGTGTGATCCTTAATGAAGCCTTGAGGAAGCGATAATTTCAGATGCGCGACGTGTAATTTTTCCGTCCCTCCTACTGTCCCCACCGGCGCTCCGCCTCGTAAACCCAGTGACTGGAGGGATCTGTGGGGCCGCGTCAAAGACCACGCCGGATTTCCCTGCTCTAGCTATGTGCATTTTTCTTCCCGAAGTCTAAAAATACCAATCTTGTTTTCCATTTACACATTTGGACGTAAACCTGCCATGTGTTAAACATTATTCAATGGTAAAAATACAAAAGTATAGTTCCATGTGTTTAATGATACTCTATAATAAAAATATAAAATACAGATCTATGCATTAGACTTCAGACACGGTTCTCAATAACGGTATAAATGTTATGTTTAACGAATCCAATATTAATAAAGAAGGATTTTTTATTTCTAACAAGCAATAGTCGTGTTGCGCCATCTAGTGACTTGTTTGGGTTAAAGACGGTCATTAAATGGAGACACTTATTTTATCCTGGAAAGTCTTAAGGTTCTCTCAACTGCTTGTGCGTTTCTCAAAACAGTTTGTACACTGCAGCACAATAATTTGGATAACCAGCAAAAATGAAGAAATTAATTCAGAAAATCTTTTATTCGTTTTTCAAAATGCAATTTTCTTATCAGCCCTTTAGTCAATGCCACAAAAAGCGAAATCTGGACTATTGTCTTAGAGACGTATACTAGAAAAATGTCAAGTCATGTTGTCAACATTAAAATATATTACGGAAGCATTTTAAGAATTATAATTGATCAGTTGTTGCTCAATTTACTTCACTATCATTTCTTGATAGCCAGCTGAATTTTCCAAACCACATGTACGTATGTTCTAGACACCCTTACAAGGTTTTACCACAAATCTGCTTTCTGCAAGACTGGAATACTGTAACATTTGTAAGATGTTTTTTTTTTCTGGGCAACAGAAATTGCAACGCCACACATAGAACCATACACAAATCTGGAAGCTATGAAAAAATTAAGTTACAGTAAAAGCGTGCGCTGTATTTTTGGTAGTTATGTTGGAAAGAAGGTGGCCAATTCTACATTGTGTGTTGTCCTGTCGCTCCTGCTGATTTAGCCACATACTTTCATCTACATAACACCTGATATTCTCCCTTACAATGCATATAAGAAAAAAATCTTCTTGAGTGCCTCAGCCATCTAATATAGCCATAAGAATCTGCTGGAATGTCATCATTGCAGCAAGTAAAGAAACATGGTTTGGTGGTGATAAGCAGTTTCTAATTTTATCATTCAATAAAACCTCTATTTTTGAACTATTTCCCTTATATTTCACTATCAAGGGAACCTTTCTGACAACTACATTAACAATTTTGCATGTGTTGACTTACACCGTGCACACGTTTAAATGTTTTGCAGAGTATATCTAAAAAAATGAGAAGTGTGTAATTAATTTTGACAACATTACTAGTACCACTGATTTTTGGGCTAATGCAAAGTGACCTTTCCTGTTACCAAAACTAAATAATTTGTAAATGAAGAAAAACAATGAGAAATGACATCATGTTGTGAGAAACCGACTTATACGTGTGCAGGTTTACACATATGGTTGTGAGAAGTACCATTTTCATTTGAGAATTTGTCCCAAGCAACCGAGAAAAACTGTAACTTTGCTGAAAGGATTATATGCAGATAAACATTTTGTCAACAATTGTCAACTGATTGCTATCATTCTTTGTTTTGTTTTTTTACTGTGCGTTTATCAAAATCTTATTTTTATTAAATTCACTTCAAAATAACATAACAAACGAATGTGGTTTATTATCCACATTGGTTGTCACAAAGTTCATAATTCTTGAGGGCACTGTAGACGGCACTAAAGGGCAAAGCATGGCATCCAATCAGACTCATCACAACCTGAATTTGAATTTATTTACCTGAACTTGAATTTCATTACCTGAGTACCAGAACCTACATTTGAATATCTACCTGAACTTGAATTAAAGAATGCAAATTTGAATATGTTCACCTGAACCTGAATTAAAGATACAGAATTTGAATTCATTACCAAAACTTGAATTTATGTTGCTTGTGTGATAATAAAAAAATCAGGCTGTAAAACTCAGCTCTTGAAAATCTGGATTGTAATATTCAGGTCTAGAAAATATGGGTTGACAATTCAAGCTCAGAAAAACAGGGAAAATATCCAGTATATTCAGAAAGAGCAAAAGTTCATCAATCTAATGAGCATAATCCTGGCCAATCACAAAACAGGTTACCAGTCATTTAAGTTGGGCTTTTCTATATCACCCACCTTAATATAGTGGCGGGTAACATGCTGCAAACTCAGAAAACACTTAAAAAAAACAAAAATCGTGCAAAAGAAAAAAAAAACATAGCAAATCCGCTCACAACACAAAGGAAGATTCTGGGGGACAATGAAACTAGATGACCCATTAGGAATGTTTACAGTATATCAATATATTTTTAAAACGAGACATTGGACGACACATCGTCTATATATCGATATACTTTTATCATGCATTAATATCGGGGCTCTGTTAAAGATTGTAAATATCAACCAATCTTTTACGGTTGTACGTGACACTAGAGCTGCAGTGGTGACGTTGGACAGAATCCTAGCGTGTTTCTCAAGACCAAGAATACTTGCGGTCTTGGCAGGACTGGTCTTTATAACTGCCCTTGCATGAATACACTTGGGGTGCAGTGAATCATGGGATTGGTCTCATTCGGCGGAGACACAGCCTACTGTAGGTGTCCTTGATATTTGTGCGGGGGGGGGGCAAATAACGACATCCTGGAATTTTTACCATCCTCCGTACTGTTTTTGACTATTGGAACTGGTCTTCGGCAAAGGAAGATGACATAAAATGGTCACACAAGAATACAAGTAACCATTCAGTTAGTACAGGGATGGGCAGTCTTATCTACAAACGGCCATTGCATATGTGGGTTTTCACTGCAACTCCCTAGTTATATTACTAATTAGAGGACTGATTGGCTGAAGACTGCTCACACCTGGGTTTGAATGGCTGACCTAGAAGTTATACCAAAAACTTATACACAGCGGCCCTTTGCAGATAAGATTGCCCAGTTGGTCCAATTACATCAGCAGAAAGAGGGGGACTGGTGACAGTTGCTTGTGTTGTCTGCGTCTCTGCCATAGGTAACGGTATTCCACCAGACTGCTGGACTACATTTCCTACAGTCAGGTTCCATAGTCATTTCTTGTACAAGGTCATGTTGGATACAAATATGGAGTCAATCCATCCAGATGGATGAAGGAATGTAATTTTTTGGACTTCCTGAAACATTTTAATCCAGCACACAAAAAACGACAAAGGAGAAGAAATATTTGCTGCTTCTTAACAACCATGAAGCACATCTGTCCATCGATGGTCTCAACAATGTTAATAACGATGGTGTAGTCAGGCTGTCATTCCCTCCTCGCTTGTCTCCCCGCCTTCAGCCACTAGATCGCTCAATGTAAATATTAAGCCATTGCTACAAATACCCAAATCATGAATTCATTCTAATAAGTACCCTATGCATTAATCCAAAGAAATGGTATTATGAGATAGTATTTATTTGCATTGCTAAAACAGTCAATGTCATATTGTGTACCTGTGCCAACCCATTGCGTGGTATACTCACACAGCATTCAGTCACACATGCACATTTTGTAAAAACATGTTTAAATTAATTATTCAGTCAACCAGTAACGCCTACATTGACTGTGAATAACAGGTCATTAAACCACAGCGTAATCTGGCCAATGAGTGAGCTTCCTCCGTCAGATCGCATCTCTTAATCCCTACCGCCATCATTCAATTAAATTCAATTTTTCAATGCAATTTTATTTGTATAGCGCATTTTCACAATATTACAATACTACAGTGTGAAAACGCTTTACATCTGCCCAAAGCCCCCAGTGAGCAATAGCACCGATCCCCACCCAGCTCTACACCTCACAGTATAGGTCTAACCGGGAGTGAGCAGTTAGCTAGAACTAGAGTCCCTATAAGCTAGACTGAAAAAGTACATTTTTAGTCTAGACTTGAATATTAAGATTAAGATAACCAGAAGGCAAAACATGTTAAATATATATTGTTGCTTTTCATTTTGGTGATGCGGGCAGTGGTGGCTTCATGGTTAAGGAAGCGCACTTGTAATTGAAAGATTTCAATTCAAAGATTCTAAATTCTTTTGTACTAGGCCTATGTACCCTATATCAAAAGTGTTCAAAGGCAGATAGTATTAAATGATGATGAAAAAAAAAACATTTAAATGGCTTTTATTTGAAAAAACATAATCGTTTCACAATGTATGCATCCATGGCGACTTCATTTTAGTATAAAGTGCGTAACGTTATCTATCGCATTTCACCTATAACCTAAATTGATGCGTATAGTAGGGAGATACTTTAACTAAATTCCACGACTCGTTCAACTGGAAAGGTATATTGAGTAAAGGATAGTAAGGAAAAGGCAAATCTGCAGAGAAACAAGCTCTCTTTCTGGGCATGGCGGTATTATCGGAGTAGATCGCGGTGTAACCGTGATCTCCTGCAAAGTTCGCCTGCACGCAGTGTCCACGTCCGGTGTCCCACAAGTCATGCACACGTGTGTCCCAACTGCATTTCCTTTTCGTAGCATTCCTCCTCTTCGTGTGTAGCAATTCCTGACCAACTTTCTGCGGTGATCCGTGCGAAATGGGCTGCACTTTGCCTACACTGCATGAATTGTCTTTTCTCAAGAGCGACTCGATAGAAAACGGGCCGCTGAACTTGACTGCGCAGTTCTCCCGGCCGGAGCTGTCCATCACCGGGGCGGTAACATGGTTCTCTCCGCCGGTCTCTGCATCTCGCATTGATCTAGATGCCAGATCTGGGAAGATGTGCTCCATGCCCTTGAAGTGCCGTCGCAGCATTTGTGGGGTGATCCGGCTTTCATCAATTCTCCAGAAATTTTTTCGCGGATTTGGACTTTCTGGATTCACAGGAACCTGAAAAATATCATAATTCCATTACTTAAGAAAATAGGCCTAAGTCCTATTTGTTAAAGCTAGGCCTATATATTACACAAGAGAGGTGCAATACTTGACACACAATCTGAAATACATACCTTAAGAAAGCAATCGCTGGACGTCAGACAGACTCTGATATTATTTTGAAGTCCTTTTCTGTCCCCCGATATGACCGTCTGTAGCTTGTCCATTATCTGTCAAAATGGAAAAATGACAGTCAAGGCCTAGTGTAAAATTTTCATCAATACTGTAATGCAGTCGGTACTTTATGGTGATACATTAAACAGCGTTGAGTATTTCTCTCTTACCTGGCAGAAGGTGAGTCTCTTACTCGGTGACCCTTGAATAGCATTAGCAATCAGACCCAAATACGTGCTGCGCGGCTTGCAATACCGCTTGTATTTTCTCCTCTGCAGTCCGCCGGATGAATCCTGGGTGTACAGGTATGTCCTGTTACGGGAGGTTGCAGGCATGGTGGCCGTGATGCAGTTCTTCATCCTGTGTCAGCAAAAGCAAAGAAGACCTCTCTTGGATGGCAGATCTCAAATGCTGGAGACCAAGAATCATGAGGATATGTAGCTTGTAGGGACAATGGCGACATAGAAGGTGTGCATTCCAGACTAACGAGTCCTTTGAATGCAGTAAATAGGTGCTACATGTCTAATTAATTCTTGTCCTGATAAAAGTACTCTTCCATTTGCAGTTATGCTGATTTAATGGGTCTCGTTAGGAAACAATCGTCCTTCCGTATATTTTACTGTACAGATAAGCTTCAGATAAAAAAAAAACCCCATGTATTTACCTATAATTGTGTCATGTTAATGTATAACACATGCTTAATCATTGACTATACAGCTGGCGTTCCGTCGTTGATGTTTGCGTGGCTAATATAGTGCTTATATACTTCCCCGCATTTTTATATAATTTGAAATCATATAGTTAATTCACTCTTTTTGTAAGTCTTCTTTATGTTTGTGTTTTGACACGTGGGTATCTTTTATAATTGGCGTTAAACTAACCATGCGGGAATAGTTATCTGAAATAATTCATATAAGATACAAGTTCAGCCTTTCTGTCAGTGGGGAGAGCTGGCGCTGCCTTTGAGCCCATGCGTATTTTGCTACAGTTCGTATTTTATTAACTCGGGAGGAATCTAGCGGTTGGCATAAATGCGCACAGTAGAAGGGCTAAAAATGTTTAATTTATGCTAACTTTACATATAGAGAGGATGTTTAAATCTCAGAGGTCATTCAGATTATTTTCAGTAGGGGACGCCAAAGGAATGCTATTTGCAGAACATAACACCGTGATGGTTGTGAATAAATAAAATAAATAAGTAATATATCCGAAAGATAAAAAGATACGTTTCAGGTCTATGTAATGAGTGAAATATCAGGGTTCTGTCAATTGCAGCAGGAAATGTCGTTTATTGAGTTTCAAGCATCAGAACAGAAGTCCCCCGATTCACTTAATCCCTCAGAAATGCCGTCAGGAAGGATTTTGACACTACACTGTAAAAGAGAGAAAGTTAATACAACCTAAAATTTCAATCATTGACTATACAGCTGTGTGCGAAAAACAACGTCACTTTCACCTTCTTGACGACTTCAACAAAAGGATACAAAGTCTGCAACAAATCTGTATAAGTCATTAGTGAATGCCAGAGAGCCACATGAGTGAACATGAGAAATTAAAAGAAAATGTACGTGTAATGAAAATAAAATGTAAATGATAAGCGGTTATTTTAGATTTCTTGTACACCTGTCTTAAAATGTAAGGGATGCTGGAGCTTGGTTGGGGTGGTGGGATGGCTCGCGGTGGGTGCCGGAAAATTTCCCTTATTTTCAAATCCAAAACTTGACAGGTAGCCTATGGTTATTCTATAACAAAACGTAACACTGCATAGGCTACTTATTAGATAAGGTTACTTCGTTCACAAGTGAATGCCAGTTTAAGATAGAGTCGTTAATTGTTGTTTCTGTATGACAAAATCTGTTATATACGTAGCGTTCCTTGTCAAAGCTTCTTGTACCATTGTTGACATGTTCCTCGGTTCGGCCAGTTCAACTTTCATTAGCTGTAGATTACTTGGGAATTTAATTTCTATGATGATTTTTCGCTTATTTAGTCCACAAACACATTCTGATAAAATGCACCTGATTTCTATAAACCTAACGAGGATAATCTCGTACTCTGCCTTTCAAATATCTCGTGGGATTTGGGCCAATTGTCGCCTGATTGTTTCCTTTAAATTTCAAATTAACGTGCATTGCCGCTAGTATGTACATGGGACTCATGTGTAATGGAGGTTTAACTCGTGAAACCTCTGGAATGCTGAGAATTCACAGTTTGTTGTCATTTTAATCGTATCAATGAATATATGATGTTTTCTCGTTTGCATTAGTTTAAAAGCACAAATGGGAAATTAAGCTAACAACAGTAATACTTTAAGTAATGGTGGTTGTATAGCCGAATAGTACCTATGTAACTAATTAAGCAGCAGACGGTAAATCATGAGAAATTTTCTTGCCGGTGTTATGCCGAAAAAGGCAGTGATCAGTTAAACTGGCAGTAATAATTTAACATCGAGATTGCATAAGGTCATATAAACAATGCCATTCTCCTGTAACCCCTATGGTTATATACTGTGGCCATAAGGGAACATTATTCCCAAAACTGGCTTCAGTTGCCGCTGTTATATGCTGGTAATACGCAGCTCCACATATCTGTCAAACTAAAAATATTTCCACTATGTATAGAGTTGTATCTTAATCTTAATACACTGTAAAAAAGGGCATCTCAAACTTATTTTTTAAGAAAACCACCTATTGTTATGCCGAGTAATTATTTTTCATTCAGATAATTTGTCTTTCATATGTATATACAGACGCTCCTCTCCTTACGAATGAGATACGTTCCGAACGGCCGTTTGTAACTTGAAGTGTTCGTTAGTTGTTTAGCATACTAAGGCTTCACCCATTGCAGTGCCCAGGGGTACAAAAGCAGTGCCCAAACATGTCTGGGCTGGGCTTGAACTTGCAATCTGTGGGTCAGTGGCATAGAGGTTTAACCCACTAAGCTACATGCTGCCCCCTCTGGACTTGGACACTGCAAAAACTCTGAACTGTTATAAAACTGTCAAGTGTTTTTGTGTTAGCACCTTATGCAGCTCCATGCACCTGAGCTAAACCTCTCTACTCATGGACTAAAGGTCACCAGTTCAAGCCCAGTCTCAACACATGTGGGGGCCCTTGAGCAAGGCCTGTGACCTATAGGTACCACAACAGGCCCATCACCGTCAAGTTTGCTGTTGTTCCCCACAGAGATACTCAAAATGTGTCTGCTGTCATTTATTGCCATCATGTTTCAGATAAACATGCTAATTCAACTTTTTACGCTTATGAAAGATAAATCATCTGAACAAAAGAGAATAAGCTGGCACAACTTTTGTTGTTTGTAATTCTTAGTATGTAAAACTAAAAATCAGAAGTTTTTATAGATATGAAAGATAGATTACCTGAATAAAAAAATAATTAGTTGGTACCAGGGGCGTTTCTAGCATTTTCATTTAAGGGGGGCTCAGCCCCCATAGATGTTTAACTCGTATTTGGCTTGTTCAGAATCAGTACTCAAATGAGTCTTCCTGATTCCTCATAAATAAGA